TAGATGGCATTTCGCGATTACAATTATAAAATTACGATTTTGAAAATAATCGAGTTTCATTCGAGTTCCAACCAATTGCTAAGAAAAATTAAATTCGCTCGATCGATCAAACGAGTCATAACAACGATGAAAGATTGAATAAAAACTCGCTATCATCGGTCGATTGTTATCGATTGATAACCGAGATATTAACACCCTATTTCACTTTGTGTATCATATTTACGTTCGTTGCTTGACGATTTGCATGGGAAAACATTATGTAGAGACACCATTTTGTTGTTGAGCTTGATTTAATTGGCAATTTTTATAAAATATTTTAAAATATAGAATACACGTATCAATATTTTTGTTATAATGAACTCACGAATGAAGAATTTCGTTTCTATCTCTGAATTTTTAGTAACGTATTGTAATTTATACCAATTCTTGGAGAAAGTATACATTTATGACCTAATTGTAACAGACTTCATGGTTTGAATATCATATGTACGAGTATAAATTACAGGAAAGATATTTTACTTGGAATAATTGCAAGCAATAATTATGGGAGTTAATATCGAATATCTAATTAGTGATGATATTACGATAATGAATTTCTTGAGATAATAAATAAATTATTCGAATACGTGATCCAATTATTTCGATCAACTAATTTAAATTACTAGAAAGTGTTATTTACGTACCTAACTATCGTAGCAGTAACTCGGGGTTACCTGTAATAGTTCTCATGCTGCGTGTTCTCCAACGCGATCAAATAATCGTCACACGGCGCCATTTTAAATTAATTTATCTAATTTATCCCCGATAATATCGAATAATTTATCGAGCAATTTAATTTGTCTCGCAGAAGGAATAAGATTATTAATAGAACACGTTCAATAATATTTTGACTCTTCCGAAAGATGTTATCAGAAACGTCTTCAAACGTTGATCTGTAGGATTTTGTAAACATACAGGGTGTCTGTGAAAAAATCCCCCGCTTTTGACCTGACGTGTATAAATAAACGAACGACTTTGAACACAACACGTAATCGTAGTAATGTTGCAAAGTCTCATGTTCCTTTTGGCCTTCGTTAATTAAGGCACATCAGATCCTCCCTCAGATGGTTGTGTCTAGCTTGCTGGAGACATTAATAATTATCTCATTAGCGATTGCTTGGCCGCTTGCGTCAATCAGCGATCAGAGTGTGGACGTGTTTTCACGCTGCTCAGAAAATAAAGGAGGCCGTGTCGCGGGCAAACGAACGCCGAGGAGGATAACGAGCAATTAACATGAATCGCACTGAAACGCGTCACGTATTGCCAACCACGCGTTATCGACTCCTAGGTCGGACTTTATGCACTTCCGATTGCCGCTCACATCACTTTCCTGCATTTTCCCGCGATTCATTTGAAAACACCGAAAGTTCTTACTAGTTTCTTTAACGGATCTTTAGAATCATTTCGTATTTTGAAACCTGCTCGAATTTTCGCTTATCCTGCTTTGAGTACTGTGCAAACTTTTGTTTACTATACTTTGAGAGTTGCTCGAATTCTTGTTTGTCGTACTTTGAGAACTGCTCGAATTTTTGTTTGCCCTACTTTGAGAACTTTGAAAACTTTGTAGAAACATTCTTTGTGGAAGAATTTCCGGTTACCACTGGTGAGGGAAATAAAATAATTTAATAGTCCGCGAAAAATTGTCACAGAAAATTTATAGCAATTTTATAATAATTCTGTATGTTAAATGAAAATATTTTCTGTTTGGAGTTCTGTTTCTTGGAAAGAATAATTTTGTTCGTTTATTTATTTAATATAAGCTTTTTACATCGGTAGGGATTGAAAAAAATATATTGTTTCAAGTTTGGAAAAGAAGATGAAAATTTAAGGATTGATAGTAACGAAATAAATCATTATTGACTTCTGAAGTACGTATCGATGCACAGGTAGCTTAGAAGCTTCATTTTTAGGGGTGTTGGGGATCTCGAAATCTACGAGATTCCCACAAAATATTAGGAATTATGTCATCATTCGTTTTGAAAATATTGTGTTGTATCGTACAATTAGTATTTAAAACAATATTTCTCAAAATTTTCGAGACTCAGCACATTTCTAGTCATTTTGTCACATCTAGGCGAGTGACTCGAAAGTGTATTCTGTAGGTGTGCACGCCAACTAACTCTCCTTCCATATTTTCATAAAAATCGACTACCCACCTCTTCGTTTGGTGAAACCTGGTTTCGTTTTATGTGCTCCTCGAATTTACGACGAAATTTCACGATTCTTTTTTATAGCAGCCATTTCGCTGGCAATTTCGCGGATCTTCAGATCGATAGTGTGTAGTGTAGATTTGTTCGGACCAGTATAGTTCACGCAGCAAATTGGTCGAAGTAACTAGAGAATCTCTAGTCAACTAAAGGTCAAGGATGGAGGAAGCTTAATGCTCTAATATTTTTTTTACACAACATGACATTTTTAAGTATTATATACGTTATCGAAGGGAGGCCATTTGGGGTGATTCTTGTATTATCTCGTAATTCTGCCAAGAGAAAAATAATCGTCTGTTAAGAATATTATAAGATTGTGCAATCTTTAAGATGAATATGAATAGATAGACTTCCTTTGAAATTGAAGTTCTCTGTTATGCAATACGTCTTTAAAAACGGATGATTTCTTTTAGTTAGATGACGTAGGGTATTTAATTAAATAAATTTAAAAATGATTTTCTTTCTATATAAATAATAATTGTATCATTGTTAATACTAAACAATTAAATATTCGACAATTTCTTAAACAATATTTATCTCATTATTCTTCTTCCTTTGGCAACTGTGTATGGTTATCTATGTATCGTATGATCAATGACACTGTAAGGGAAAATCGTATTTATCCCAATTAAAAACTTTTTAGTTTAAAAAATGTTAAGTTCCCAGTAACTAAAATAGAATAAAATTAAATCCAATAAAGAAAGAAAATTGAAGAGAATTCTTCCAATTTTATTTTTCAAGGAAATATTATACACATCATATAATCGGTGCAACGCAGGTTACTTTCAATATTTTCAGCGTCATACTAACAAAATTTAGAGAAAGGTTAATTTACAATTTTTTATAATTTAATTTTAATTTAGTTTTCAATTTTTATCTGCCAAAACGTATTATACAGAGCATTCTTTCTGTCGCTACGTTAATCTAGGTTTAATTTCGAATTACACGGGAAACGTCGCGTAACGATTTTCGATCGGTTGATTTTGATAAAGAAAATTGCACATTGCCTCTTACGTCTTTATTGTTATACACTTCCTGAAACAGCAACGATTAATCTACGACGTACAATGATCGCGTATCGTCATTGATTTAATATTTGCCGAGCGACTTGCATTCGATCGACGCAAGGCTATTTACAGCAATCGGGCTTATATCTGCGACTTATGATATGATAAAAATAGGAAGTGCAGTGCATGCAACGGGCATAATGAAACGCGGTGAGGATGATAACGAAAGTAGAGATACATTGAATTTTGTTTAATTTCCTCGAAGCGAAAAAAATGGAGATACGTTTTCCTTAATTAACTTATACCTCATCTGGAGAAGAAAAAGTTATTCTAAGGAAGAAAGTGAGTAGGTTCTGTAATGTATATACGACTCTGTCGAAGCTAAGAACATGTTCTTTGATATTACTGTTTCCTTTTATGAAAGTTTATGAGGATCTACAGGGGTATGGGTGAATAATAATGTCGAAGACTCGGTGGATGGTTCTTGGAAGGAAGGTCTAATGTGTGATTCTTTGAAAGAGATTTACGTTTATTTGTTAAGGGTATGGTATATACAGAGTGTACTTAATGTAACCACTTCGGTCGTTTTCATTTTTAATAAGTTAATTTTGTCCGTCTTCGGTAGCACGATTAATTTGACAAAAGTTGGGTGTCATTCTTCTTTCACGTGCTACCATGATATATACCATGGTTACCATGGCATGCTATTCATGGCAAAATATTTTTTATTATTTCTTCACTACCTAAATAATTAAAAGTAATCGAGGTGGTTACATAGTCCAGGCTATATAGGGTGTATATGCACTATGCCTACTCTGTATGTAATATATATAGATATTACTAGTGTCCATAGATTTAGCTTATATAAGTAAAAGATATAGCAGGGTTAAAGAAAGTACTCTATAATTTCTGTGTCCTGAAACAAGGCTATTTCGTCAATCATGAATTACATCATAAGTCACCTTTCTTTTTGTAATTGTGCTTCGCCTTTCGACTGCATTTCGGTTTCACACGGTGTTGAAATGTCAAAGACAAGGAGAAAGAGACGAATAATTAATTCAGTTCGATACTAGGGAGCACTTCAGCGCGGAAAAATTAATTTCTTCGATGAATAAGCGTTGCCATTTGCAACCTTTCTGGTTGGAACTATTTTCAAACCTCCATTTATTTCTACTTCGTCCCAATTTTTTAATTTTTCTCTTTCACTGTGATATCTTCTTTGTGAAAGCATTTTTCGAACGCAGTTGGAGTAAATTTCATGGGGGAAAAAATATGCTCTTGAAACTATACTAAATTACATCGTAATGCGTGCAAGTGAAATAGTATAATTCTACGTTATAGGAAACATTCAGTATATGGTTAAACATATGTAATACGAATTCATTATTATATACATAAGGGTTAAGATATAACTACATACAAATCCGAGAAATGTAAGAAAATGTATTGTAATTATAAAAAGCTATTCAAAAACAACTCGTTCGATACAAAGGAATTCAAACGCAGAAAAGCATTAAATGTAAGGTGAAGGAGCCATAAAGGCTTGAACAAAAGAGAAAACAAGTACCATTGCTTTCTATACGACCGAGAGCAATTTTCTGCCAAAAGAACAAAGAAAAATAAAATATCAGAAAGTAGTTTCTTGCTTCTGTACAAAGAATCATCTTGGGACATCCAACTGCACGTTAACTAGAAGCCATCTGCGTTCCATAGCCGGATTAAAGAGATCGTAATGTTTGTTGTCCAGGTTGTGGCAGTACACGTCGAACCAGGCATTTTTGACTCGTACTACAATGGGTGTTGCAACGGAACCTTTTGGCCATTGTTCCACTCTATGCCTGATCGAGCAACCTTCATCGCAGAGCATTGGCGAGCATATTCCGCAGTCAACGAGGAATTCGCTGCGAAAACAGTGAGTACTTATACATCGTATACAGTCCAATTTCTTGCAGTATCCATAGGTCTCTTTTATCATCTAAGTTTTTACCACCAAAAGAAATATTCCTCGATTTTACCCTACTTTCCTCTGACTAAAAGTCTGGTAAATTGGAAATTTTTACATTGAAATTACTACTACATAGGTATATAGCAGTCTATTTTAAGTAGTAGTGGTAAACGATATAATAAATGTTTCATTGGTACTCAGGTTGGTGCATTGGATCAAATTCATAAGGATCAAAAGAATCAATCGAATGGCACGCCGTTGGTCTGGGTGCACGACTATCACCTAATGTTAGCCGCGAACTGGATTAGACAGGCAGCTGATGAGAAGCATCTCAAATGTAAATTGGGCTTCTTCCTTCACATCCCTTTCCCACCATGGGATATATTCAGACTCTTCCCGTGGGCTGATGAAATCCTTCAGGGAATGCTTGGTAAACTTCATTTCTGTTATACTGTGAAACTTTTATGCATTTGAACGTTGGCAAATATAATTTATCGTGGAAAGGTTATACGTGGAATAAAATTAGTATATTATTCTTACCAGTTCAAAGAGGTATGATGTCTTATGAAAGTGATATTGTTTTAGGTTGCGATATGGTCGGTTTTCACATTCAGGACTATTGTCTGAACTTTGTCGACTGCTGCCAAAGGAGCCTCGGTTGCAGAGTTGATCGTAAAAACCTATTGGTGGAGCATGGTGGAAGAACAGTACGCGTAAGGCCACTTCCCATTGGCATCCCGTTCGACAGATTCGTTGCACTGGCCGGAACTGCCAACAAGGTCATGTTGACTAATCAGAAGATCGTATTAGGCGTTGATCGCCTCGATTACACCAAGGGATTGGTTCACAGACTCAAAGCTTTTGAGATGTTGTTAGAGAAGCATCCAGAACATCGTGAACAGGTGACGATGTTGTTATAGTTTATATCGATATGATCATAAAAAGATTCTGTTTTATTTTTGTGCATTTTAGTATCTGAAAATTTACACATATATATTGAAAATAGAAAACAGAAAAGAGTAATATAAATGTAACAAAACTGTTACAAAAATATATTAGATTTTTACCAAATTAATAGTCAGAACAATTTCATTTTAGGTTACTATGCTCCAAATTGCTGTGCCATCGCGAACTGATGTACGTGAGTACCAGGACTTGAAACTGGAAATGGATCAACTGATTGGTCGTATAAACGGTCGGTTTACGACACCCAATTGGTCTCCAATTCGTTACATTTATGGTTGCGTGAGTCAGGATGAGTTGGCAGCGTTCTATAGGGATGCTACGGTTGCTCTCGTTACACCACTCAGGGATGGAATGAACTTGGTCGCCAAGGAATTCGTTGCGTGTCAGATTAACACTCCACCAGGTGTGTTGATCGTTTCTCCATTTGCTGGAGCCGGAGAGATGATGCACGAAGCTTTGATTTGCAATCCCTATGAAATAGACGAAGCTGCAGAAGTTATTCATAGGTATTTTTAAAATGCTCAAGCGAGATTTTAATATATCCGATGTGTGGATATGATTTGCTTCCTTTAAATTTTTTTTAGTTTTTAGTTAATGTTGCCTATTATAAAATATTATTGAACTCGTATATTTCAGGGCACTTACTATGCCAGAAGATGAACGCACATTAAGAATGAATCACTTAAGGCGTCGCGAGAGGATCTATGATGTTAATTATTGGATGAAATCCTTCTTACGAGTAATGGGATCACTCGAAGAACATGATTCTGTAGGTGCTACAACGATGCAACCAGTGACCATGGATGATTTCGATGATTATTTGAGCAAGTAGGTATAACTAAAGACTAGCGACGTGCATGACTGGGCCCGACCAGAGCATGCGCTTACACGAGAATCAATCGACCAATGTACAATTAAAATATCGTTATTTTAAGGTGTTAAAATTATTAACACTATGTATGTACATTTTCTTTTGAATGAAGACCTGAATATACTGAAAATACTAAAAGCATTAATCGCACTTTGACGCATGTGCTGAAGGCAAACTATTATGTCAAAAAATATTATTTCTAAAATTATTAATATTTATTAATTATTCATTTAGTATGCCTTGTTGGTTAGTGAAATAAGATTACATGAGGAGAAAAGCTAAACTTTCTTAAAATTTTAAGAAATTATTGCATTTTTATAGTCAAATGTAATTCAATTCAACGTGAATTATTTTTAATACTCAATTGATAAACTTTAACATTATGTGACATCAAAATATGTCACATTATATACAGTCTGCTTATTGCATATATGAATATAGATTAATGGTGGGAATGCGTGTATAAAACACAAGTTTGATACATTAACTAAACAGTTCAAATGGAATGTTTTTTCCAATACAGATTGAACGTCGAATGATTAAACCGTTTATTAAATCTAGCATGAGTTTGGGTACGTCGCAGCGTAGGGAACGCTGTCCACCTGGTGCTTTTGATTACCAATGATGATATGTTGAAAATATTTTATGTAACAAATATTTAAAAATCGATATTAGTTCGAATAATGTTCCCGATTAACTATCCGTCTGTACTAATAATGTACCTAAAAGTCCATCCTGTTGTAAAGTACAGTTACGGTGATGTATCTAATACATTGTGAACGAGTATGAAAATATCCCTGGATTAAATTCACATAATTTTGGGAATTACGGATACGTGTATCCACGTTTGATACCATTTGAGAAGGTTATGACCAGCCAGAAAATGCTTTGGAAGACGGGCGGGCCCGCGCGTGCGAATGCGACCTGACTCATGATGAAAGCCGGGTAACGTTCCAGTGATAACACATGTCCCCTAGGTATATCGGCGATAATCATAAATTGGCCCTCCTGCTGGATTATGATGGTACCCTGGCCCCCATCGCAACACATCCGGATCTTGCCATCTTACCCCTTGAAACAAAAAATGTTCTGCAAAGGTTATCCAATATGTCTGATGTGTATATAGCGATCATATCGGGTAGAAACGTGAACAATGTTAAATCAATGGTGGGAATAGAAGGTATCACGTATGCTGGAAATCACGGATTAGAAATTTTACATCCAGACGGCAGCAAGTTCGTTCATCCAATGCCAGCTGAGTTGGAAGGCAAAGTAGCAAACTTGATGCAAACGCTGCAAGATCAAGTGAGTTTAATTTTTGAGTATTATCTTTTTTAAATATTTTTAAGTATTTTATTGTCTATTTTGAAATTAAAATTGTTGAAAATTATTGAGATTTTTGTTAACACGACTTTTCTCTTTTAATATTTCAATAGATTTAGTTATACTATTTATCAAGAATTCTATTTATTAATTCTACTTATCAAAAGTACCATTGGTGTCTGATATAAAAGTCTCTAATAGTCTTAATTGCATTTAATTTAATTTATATATTAATTTGCTGTATTGTATGCAGATTTGTAAGGATGGTGCCTGGGTAGAAAACAAAGGAGCATTGTTAACTTTCCACTATCGTGAGACGCCAGTGGAAAGACGTTCTGAAATGGTCGAACAAGCAAAGAAAATTATTGAACATGCAGGCTTCAAAGCCTGTTCGGCGCATTGCGCTATCGAGGCAAAACCACCAGTCGAATGGAATAAAGGTCGTGCTTCCATTTATATTCTACGTACCGCATTTGGTTTGGATTGGAGCGAACGTATCAGGATTATTTATGCCGGTGATGATGTTACGGATGAAGATGCAATGAAGGTATGAACATTTTGATGACTAGAACATCGAAGAAAGAATGGAATTAAAATGTGCTTGAGTGATATTTAATCAACAGTTTTAAATTACAATCTAAAACTTATAGCTTAATATTACTTTTATGTTAATACATCTATGTATTTTATTTAGGCCCTGAAAGGTATGGCAGCTACCTTCCGTGTAACATCGTCACACATAGTTCGTACATCAGCAGAAAGGCGTTTACCAAGCACGGATTCTGTATTGACTATGCTAAAGTGGGTGGAGAGGCACCTGAGCAAACGCAAACCTCGTAACAGTACCGAAATCCCATCCAGATTTCGTCGAAGTAGCGCCGGTATTACCATGGAAATGTCTTTTACGCCATCAAATACAGCATTAGAATCATAAGTTACATCGCGACATCCTTCGTTATCATATCGACTGTGTCTTCGGCAGGAAATATTTTTATGTCACAGGCTTATGCTATACTCGTAAAGTAAGATCAAGTATGTGCGTGAGAGAAGAATAGGAACAAAAAGACGAAAGGAAAATTGTAGGTGAAGAAAAATACACAAAAAAAGCAAAAAAAAAACATTAATCATTGTGTAAATTGTATTGTTCAGGTATGGTGGAAACCACCATTATCATTTATCAAACAAGTTGAGCTTTATACGAATATCTTTTCTTTCTGATGAATTGTATTCGAGAGCTCTACTTACATTCGACTATATCGAATTAACTTAATAAAACACCGTACATATACACACGCGTCAGCCAAGAGGAAATAATCTTTTTAATATGAAATAAATACTCTTTATCGACTGTTTTCGACGTTTACCTAATTGATGTATTTCTCCGGGAACCAATCAAATGGCTTTACCTCGAAAATATATAATAAATCACGAGAAAATCACAAAAAAAAAGAAAAAAAATATGAATGTTAAGCATACAGTCGTTAAAATCTCCGTTTCAAGCATGAATATATAACATGTTCTTTGTTTCTTTTCTGTTTTTTTCTTTTTTAAATTAACATTTATTACGTAATTGTTACACTGTACGGTATAATTAGGCTGAATGTAGCTTCCGATAAAGCATGTTTTATCGAAAGTCGTATAATAGGTACTTAGTTATGTATAGTTTTTAAGTTCGCGTCGCTTAAAAATGTCACAGAAAATATTCGATATATTGTAATATTATCAGAGCAACTGTATTGATTTAAATAAGCTAATATTGTATACTTGCAATCAATTTTCAAAACACGTAACAGATGATTGTAACAGAAAAATAGTGTTCTATATTGCCACATTAGCAGAGATGAGAAAAATAATTGTATTCAACTTCGTAGGTGACTCAAAAAATCATAATCAAGTAATAGAACAGATTTCAGTTTTGCATGTATAGCATATAAATCGATTTGTTGTATGTTGCGTATTTAAATCAAATCGATTTAATGAATTTTTAGTGTTTGTATATTAGATTACATCTGAAATTACACGAGACACATCCTCTTCATTAAGACTACCAAGACTTCTCGTCAAAATAGAGTTACTAAATATCTGTTTTTTATAAAAGCTGTTTTTCTTTTTTTTTTCTTGCGAATATGTATTTTTTTATAACAGTATGAATGAAGTTTACAAATTGTTACATTTATATTATTAAATATAATCGATATAACGGAAACGATTCAAGAATGGATGTGCATAGGCAAGAATACACTTTTAATATGCATGTCGTTTATAAGAAAGTCTTAAATTTGATGATTAGTTAGTTAATATGTAGTTTTCCTTTTTCTTTTTTTTTTTATAAATCAGATGATGGAATTATAATGAACAGTGCCTTCACAACTTCATAAAAAGCGCAATACCCAATAGTAATCAGTAATAAACTACATAAATGACGATGATTTAGCGATAAGGGATGTGCGAAATGTTATACACACAAATTTATATACACGAAGGTTATATGTACACATATATTTTCACATACAAAATATTTGATATATACTAACATACAAAAACATGAATACATAACATATAGACATACATGATATATCAACACATAAATGTATATCGTTAAACAACATTGAAAGAAACGATATATTTAGACAAAAACAAATCAAAGTAAACACGCACTAATTTTACACATTTTCTAAATAGAATAAGTCACTTAAGGATTTATTATTTCATGCGTTTATCCATTTTCTATATTAAAAAAGGAAATCGAAGTCGATTGAATAGGATAGAAAAAGAGATAAAACAACTCGAATGGTTTTTTAATACTGTTAGAATATTTTTAAACCCGATTCTTTATCGATTCATTTTCGATGTCAAGTGGACATATTGCAAGAACAAACAAAAAAAAAAATGAAAACCTTGTCATCTAATCAGATCGATGTGTTTCACGGAAGATATTAATGGATCCTGAACAAAATTTTTTATAGAAAATATTATAGAAATAGCTATAAACATAAAATGAAACTATTAAACAAATAGAGACTGATTAAACGAAAGTTAATACATAACCTTGTTTTCGACGTGGAGTTTGTTTATTCAAATCAAAGTTAGACAAAAGAGCAAAATAACGTTGAAAGTTGAATATAAATAGAATTTTCAAAATGAAAAATTAATATTGAATTTTCGGAACTGATGTATGTGTACGTAAAAGAATCTACATTACCTTTCTATTCGTGGATGAACGTCAGACATATATTTGTGTATAAATCTTTAAACTTTGTTACGTGTTTTACAGAAACTGCATTAAATATAAAAGAAATCCGTCATTAGTTTTTGTGCGTGTCAGATTTATATTTCATTAAAAAAAAAGATGACCATGATATTAAAACATTGTTAGAAAATTGTAGATGAATATTCAAATTCCCCTGCCTTTACTTACATGGTCACGTCATGGTCATGCATATACCACCATTAAATTTCCTTCGAATTTCATTAGGGTATATCTCAGGCAAGTTCACACGCGTATTGTGCCACTACATACATACTTACATACATATTTTCTATTTCGCACAAACCTCAAACGCAGAAAGCCACATATATAAACTAATATATGTATTATATATAGTTTATTATGTATATACATGAATTTTTATATGTAGAATTTACGAAATTCGGTGACAGAGGATATTAATGAAAAACAAAAAAATAGGAATGAAATGAAAAATGCAGAAGTATATAAATGAAAAATTTTCCGAAGAACAGAAGATATTACATGAAATTTATTAAGTCAAAGTGTTTATTAAATAAAAATGATTCTAATTACTTAATGACCTGCTTTCACGCAGAACATCTATTTCAATGACTGTACTTTTATATATATATATATATATATCGTTACAAAGAAGACAGGTTGAAGTACCTAATTAGGTATGCATTGTATACTAGATTTCTATTATTTCTTTTGTTTCTCTTCAATACTAAAAAAGGAAGTAAGTATTTATGTAGGCATATCTCTATACATATATGTATTTGTTGTTGCAGATGAAACTACAATATTTATGTTAATTTGTGGTACGAATTTGGTTCAGTTTCCTTTAATAATTGTAATTGCTTCTGCTTTCACTTCCCCTCTCTCTGACACCGTCCCCTCTATCTCTCTTCTTTCCCTCTCTTCCTTTACCTTCTTTCCAGTGTGTCGTCGTCTTCCGGTGAATAGTAATAAGATTACATAAAATGATTTCATTTGTCTAAACCACAATAATGTATCGACAGTTTGATTCTCGAAAAAGAAGTGTAGCATTCATTGGAATCATTGTGTATCCAAATCTCGTATTTTCATATCGGTATTTATTAGTTAATTATTATCGTCGCTAGTCAATAAAGACCCGAAAGCTAGTTGTAAAATGCCTAGAAACGGGAAAAAGTGAATGACAAAAACAAGGAAAATTACACAGATACATCGTAATTTTGTTAAAAAAGAAAAAAAGATTGATAAAGATTGATAATGTGTGTATATAATATATGTATAGAAGATACATGCATATGTGTATATGTATTTCTACACATAGAGTGCTCTCAACGTGTCTGTATGTCATAATATGCCCTTATCAATAATACGTATATGTATGTGTACACATAGAAGCTTCTCAACGTGCCCTTATCAATGATATGTATATGTTTATATATGTACACGTAGAACCTTCTATAATGTACTCTTATCAACGAGATCCCATAAAACAAATGAAGGAAACGAAAACAAAAAGCACGAAAAAAAATTAATCCATGTTTTGTATGAGTACTTAGTTTTTACCTCGATATATACTATATAAAATGAGATAAAAAGGTGTGTATATATTATATGTACATGTGTATGTGGTGTATACACATTTAACATTCAAATGCAGTACGCAACATTTTCCAATCAAATTAAATGTAGGCTGCACCCATAATTGTAAAAGAGAGTTAAGAAAAGAAACAAAAAAGAGGAACGAAACAATATGGAACAAAAATAAAATTGCAGAAATAAACATTGTTTATAAACTGTGTCCAAATATATTTTTTTCTCCTTCCGTTTGATTTTTACATTCGGTTTCTGCCTCTTCCTGTCCAACCGTTCGCTGACAGTGGAAATTGCAAAAATCGTAACGAGAAATTCGTCATGTCATAATTTATTTTTTTACCAGCAAATGGAATAATCGATACTGCAGGCGACGGTAAATTGAACTATCGAATCTCTTGTGTCTCCCCCTTTTTAATTTTTAGTCAAAACTGAGAAAATTTTACATTGATATTTAAATTTTATGTGTCAGATGTTTATTGATAGCGTTTCCAAGAAATCGTTGAAAAATATTTTAAATATTCTAGCAGAGTTATTAAATGTAAACGTTGTGTACTTAACCGTGAATTTCATTCTACAAATTCTATAACATTTGTCTGACGATAGCTCATGGTACTTTGTTGTTGGTATTTTACTCAATGTAACCTTTGTTTTCCGGTCTTATCGAGCTGTAATTAAAGATGTTTTGAAGAATATTACCGACCCGAATAAATCGAGAGGGTTATGGATAACGATAACACTGTACCATACGAATTTTAATTTGTAACATCCTTCGGATAAATTTAGTTTACTTTCTTGAAAACGAATACGTAGTCGAAATTGCTCTATCACTCACAGTTTTCGAAAATTCTGAGTTTTTCTAAACTTAATTAGATCGTGAAAATATTCATCGGTAACGTGTATACGAGGTTTTACTACCACGCAGCACTGTTCGCTTCTTTAGCCTCGACAGTACCGTAGCTACGCGTAATCCGAATAGAGTTAACATACAGTCTAGAAAAAAGAAAAAATACAATTCATTAGAACTTCGTAGTTAAACGACGTAAGTATATATGTACCTCTATCATGTATTTGCAAAGGTGATCTTTATTCATTTTTTGGTCTTCGTCTGTAATTTGTATACTGTCCAAATTCTAAACAATAAAAAATATACCAATTAATAATAAAAATATTATTATTAAAAATAAATCGTTAGTAAATATTGTGTACGTATAGTTACAGTATGTTCTTTCATGTTATTATAAAAATAGCAAAAGGTTAAAAAAAATGTCGACTAAAATCTGCTGCAAAATATGACATATTGCACGGATCCGGTTAATAAATAAACTCTTTACACCCCTAATGCAACCCGTTGATACAGCACTGACTCCCTCAATAAGATAGACAAGGATGGAAAATCAAGCGACATTCAATCAGTGCCATCTATTATTTTGGATTCAGAAATCAGATTTAGTGATAGGAACACATAATATACGAGGAGCTCTTTGGAACAATCACCTGGCGCCATCTGTGTCCAAGTTACCGAACTCAAGGTTCAGGTATAAAATCATAGATGGCTCTGATGTTGGTTTACTAACTCTGGTTACGTTCTTCTGATACATTTTAATAAATTAATTCGGCAGTGGAAAAATAACTAATTACTCAATATCTGTGATTAATTTATGAACTTTTATAATTGCATCGTAAAGCCAGATCCTTCAGCAACTTTCTAATATATTTTTGGATATAAATTTGTCCCTAATTAATTTATTGTTAATTATTATTCTACGTAGTGTTTGAATTGTTGTCGAAGACGCCATTGGTTTTTCATTAATTACTATCCTCTACGCAATTAATTTATGAATCTTTATGCACTCATTACAAAAACAATGTTCTTGCGAATCTTCTCATATAACTTTTGATTACATTTTGCTTCTAGTTTCGTTCAGTATTAAATATTTTCACGGAAGATCGCGATGGTCGTCGTTACGAAATCATGGACGTCATCAAGCAAAAATTAATAACTAACTAATTCATAACAAATTATGTACGAAAATTACATAAGAATGTTGCTCAAAGTTTCAGCTTTACAATGCAATTCTAAAAGTTCATAAATTAATTACAAAAATTGAGTAATTTATTAACTTTTCACCGTTGGAGCCCTTCTATCCTTTTCTATCCTATTTCTGTCCTTGACTGTCACGTGACGAGCTCTTCGACGACCTCTTCGCCTATTCTATATTACTATTACTTTTCCGATCATATGGTCCAAAATAATAGATGGCGCTGATTGAATGTCGCTTGATTTTCCATCCTTGTCTATCTTATTGAGGGAGTCAGTGCTGTATCAACGGGTTGCATTAGGGGTGTAAAGAGTTTATTTATTAACCGGATCCGTGCAATATGTCATATTTTGCAGCAGATTTTAGTCGACATTTTTTTTAACCTTTTGCTATTTTTATAATAACATGAAAGAACATACTGTAACTATACGTACACAATATTTACTAACGATTTATTTTTAATAATAATATTTTTATTATTAATTGGTATATTTTTTTTTGTTTAGAATTTGGACAGTATACAAATTACAGACGAAGACCAAAAAATGAATAAAGATCACCTTTGCAAATACATGATAGAGGTACATATATACTTACGTCGTTTAACTACGAAGTTCTAATGAATTGTATTTTTTCTTTTTTCTAGACTGTATGTTAACTCTACTCGGATTACGCATAGCTACGGTACTGTCGAGGCTAAAGAAGCGAGCAGTGCTGCGTGGTAGTAAAACCTCGTATACACGTTACCGATAAATATTTTCACGATCTAATTAATTTTAGAAAAACTCAGAATTTTCGAAAACTGTGAGTGATAGAGCAATTTCGACTACGTATTCGTTTTCAGGAAGGTAAAAGAAAATTATCCGAAGTATGTTACAAATTAAAATTCGTGTTGTACAGTGTTATCGTATATACGTAAACAATATTTACTATTAATTTTATCAATCTGTTTTCAGAATTAATATTTTTATTATTAAACGATATATTTTTTTGTTATTTAGGATTTGGATAGTACAAAAATCACAAACGACGATCAAAACAATGAATAAATAATACTGTTGCAAATACAAGAATGAGATACACTTATACTTACGTCATTTGATTGTGAAATCCTAATGAATTATTTTTTTTTGTTTTTCGTAGATTGTTATATGTTTCGGAAGTTTATGCTAGTATGTCGGTACAGCGATTTCGTTCGGATGCTGCTGTGAGGCTTTTAGTGGTGGTGGAAGGTTGAGATTTTATGTGATTCCGAGAAATTTCGTCATTTCCAAGAATGTTTTGGACAATAGTTTTCCAGCCTTGCAGTATATTTTAATTATTTTACTTACCTTACTTACCTTCTTTATCTTACTTGCGTCACTTTCCTTACTTACCTGAATTCGTCTTATTTTTTATATTACTGCAAAAGATATTGTCCACTCTTTTTTTTCAAAATTTGAAGAAAACGTTAAAAATTCACAAGAGACAGGGCATATCTTAAATTTTGTGCGTAGCTCTTAGCTTGGTATCGTATTCCAAA